GGTCAACACAAGGTCAACAATGTAATGAAATGCTCAGGACGAGAAGAACCGTCTTCACTCGCCAATAAAACAACAGCAAGGCATACCAAAGCATGCAACAAAAATACTGAAACAAGGCAGCAAAAGTGAAAAAGAAATGCATCTACAGTAGCATGGTTCTATTAGCAGAGTGGTTTTGTTAGCAGTGAGGTTTTGTTAGCAATGTGGTCTCGTTAGCAGCCTGATTATGACAACGACCGCGGCAACAGACAATGACTGCCTTCCAGACCCAGCAGACACAGAACATCCAGTTTCCCCACAGAACTGAACTGTTCCATAGAGTTCGGTCCATGCAGGCAGATGGAGAATCATGGAGACGGCCACTGTGACAGGCCGGAGCCTGAGCCGAGGCGGAAAGGGGGCTGGGAACTGAACCACAATGGCAGGATTGCAAGACAGCGACACACAAAACTCCAAAAGTATGTTGGGATCATACCCGTAGCATGGGTGTGCAGTGTAGGCACAAAAAATTTTAAACAAAAACAACAGGAATAAAAAAAAGAGGGAGTCAGATCAGAGCTCCCGTCAGTGCTGCCATAATGCGGCACATGTGACGTCATTCCAGTGACCTACAATAGTGAAGATATTGATTGTTTATATAATTTTAAATAGAACCTCACTTCAAAATAGTCAGAATATATCTTTAATGCCCAAACTGTAAGGAACAAATAGATGGAGCTCATGCTACATGTTATAGCACCTCTTGCACCAGTCTTTGTACCCCCACATAAACAGAAGCATAGATCTTCATGAAACTGAGCTGCACATTCCTGGGTGTTTCCTTAACGACAGACTGATCCAAAGACCTGGCAGAGCCACACAGACTCTTCTTGGCTGGATTCCCTCCTTTTTTCTGCTCCTCGTCTCTCCTGGTTATGCTCTTTTTTTTTTCCCACTCCCATCTAAAACACTTCCTCCTCTTTTTGTCTGTTCCTCTCTTGTGCACTCTGCTGTTTGAGACCACAGACACACCTGCTGTTAGCATCTTAAACTCCATTGATGGGTTTTGTTGTAAAACCTACTGACAATAATCATCACCTAGTCTCATTTAAGCTCAGTCCTTGCACAGAACCATTTAAATTAGTTATGTTGTCTTTATGTAGTCTATCAAACAGTCACTGCTAAGTTATTGTGTTGAATGTTTGCGTATGTTGAGTCTGTTAACGAGCCCTCCACATTGTGTCAACAGCTCTTTTTGTGTGTCTGTGTGCCAGCCGTGTATCTATGTGTTTGCATACATGTGTATGTGTGAAGGACACACCAACAGAACCAGTGTGGTCCGTCTGATTGTATTTATATGGAATAAACAAAAGAGAGGAATGCTGGGGGAGGGGTGGGAGCCAAAGGGACACCTAAACGGAAAGAAAGGAGCAAACAGAGAAAACTCTGAGAACGCATGAAAATGGATGACCTGTGTCCCTGACTGGTTGTAAATCAGTTCCTTCATTTAGTAGAGGTTACTTCCTCTGTTGTTTGTTTGTTTGTGTGTGTTTGTTGTTGTGTTTGTGTGTGTCTGTGTGGTGGGGGGGTGGGGGGGTTAGCACTTCCCTGTTAAAAATTCTACAAAGTAAAATCTTGTTCTCAAAGACCTCTCATCTTATCTTTAAGCATGTATAGTTGTTCAACAAATCATAAAATGACTCTAGTAGTGTAAGAGCAATCATAAAGATGGGGTGGAGGCCCGCTCCTCTGAAAAGCACACAGGAAAAGCTTGATCTTGTTTGACTTCCTGCTTCACAGGAACCAGTCAGCATTGATTATTTACCTGCTAAACACTGTGGACTTTGTTGGGATTCCCTGGAGATTTACTCCCCTCCCTATCATTTTACCTCAACACACAGGAAAGCTTGAAGCTTCATGAGCAAAGCCGGCGAGCAATGAAGATGAAGTGTGAAACGGATTAAAGAGAAATTTGAATGGAAAATCAATGTTGCAACATTATCCAGTACAAAAGGCATGTTCCTTGTATTTGGATCAGAATTTATTCCAGTTTTATTTGGTTGGAACATCATGTTGAGCTCAAACAAATTATCTGTATTGCCACAGAGGCTGGCGTCTTCTGAGAAGACAGGCTTATGAGATCACAGACGAGTCATGAAATGTGAGCTATCAAAAAGCTGGACGAAGACGTCATGCAGCTCAGCAGTCATGATGGATGCTTGTATCATTTTCTAAATTATTCTCCTTGGCCCAGTGATGGAGCAGATAACTTGTTCTCCACTTCACAGTGCAGTGACAGCAGATTTTCCCACCATGCATGCTACGATGTGGTGCATAACCAAAGTGGGAGGGTCATGAATATGATTTGTGCCGAGGGAAATGTTGACAGGACCCAGTGACACGCCATCACACTGACATAAAACCTGTTGGCAGCAAGGATCAATGTTAGCCCATGAATTGTGTTACAGTAAACTGGTGTGAGCATTTCAACACTCCGAAACATTCTTCAACATGGCAGGTTTTAACACGATGCCCGAATACCTCATTTTATTATAAAGGTTGCTGCAGATCCAGAGACATTAGACATTTACTGTAGCAAAACCAATTTAATACACAATAAAAAACATTGAATAAGATAGTTAACGGCATATCCTGATGCATGCTCAATAATCCAGGTAGAAAAATCTAAAAAAGTTCAATCTAGTCCTCTGGACATTCAAAAAAACAAAACAAAGCAAAACAAACAAAAAAAAGTAGAAACATTTTGTCTTTCATCCCAAAGACTTCCTCAGTCTGTATGTACTCAGTCTTATAAATATCATCTTCTCAGAGTGGATTAACCGGTTTTGCTGCTGACAACCAAAACCAGCTGCTCACATGATCAAGGACCATCAGCCTAACAATGGATCATTAGCACACTGATGGCTGATTACTATTCACAGGAGGCAGAGTGATACTAGCAATAACAGCATTGTAAGAGGGGGACAATTGAACACGTAGGCCTCCACCCCTGTTTAATGATGGACGATTTATTTTCACAAAGATGGCCTCTGTTACTCTTCTCTCAAACCATCGTTCCTCTCTGTCCAGAATGTGAACATCTTCATCCCTGAAAGAGTAACTGCTGGTCTGGAGATGAGTGTAGACCGTAGAGTCCTGGCCTGATGGTATTGCTCTTCTGTGCTGGGCCATCCTTTTGGCCAGTGGCTGTTTAGTTTACCCGATGTAAGACTGATCACAGCCCTCCTGACACTGAACAACATACACAACATTACTCTGTTTGTGCCGGGGGACTGGATCTTTGGGATGAACCAGTCTTTGCCGTAATGTATTTTGGGGTTTAAAAGCCACTGGGACGTTGTGTTTAGAAAATAAACGTCTCAGTTTCTCTGATACGCCCTCAACATATGGAATGACCACTGGTCTGGGTCTGGGTTCCTCCTTTTCATCTGATGGCTGACTGGAGTCCTGTTTGGGTTTCTTCTCTGCTTTCAGGAAGGCCCAGTTAGGATATCCACATTTCTCTAGAGCCTGTCTTGTGTGGGATTTCTCCTTCTGCCTGGCTCCTGAGCTAGTGGGGACGCTGTCTGCTCTGTGATACAGAGTCCTGATGACTCCTAACTTGTGCTTCAAAGGGTGATGGGAGTCAAACTGCAAATACTGCTCTGTGTGGGTGGGTTTGCGGTACACCTCAGTTTGCAAATGTCCTCTATCAGAGACTGAGACCTCATAGTCCAAGAAAGCCAACTTGCCATTTTTTACATCTTCTCGTGTGAACTTGATGTATTTATCCACAGATTTGATGTGGTCAGTAAAATGTTGGACTTCCTGAGATTTAATTTTAACCCAGGTGTCGTCAACATACCTGAACCAATGACTTGGTGGTGTCCCTGAAAAGGACGTGAAGGCTCTCTTTTCTACCTCCTCCATGTACAGGTTAGCAACAATAGGAGAAACTGGAGACCCCCTAGCCAGTTTCTAAGGTGCTATTTAAGAGACTGAGCTGAATACAGCACCTCAGACTGAGGAAGTCTCTCAGATGAGAAACAAAACGTTTCTACATTTTTTCTTTGTTTTGTTTTTTGAATGTCCAGAGGACCAGATTGAACTTTTTTGGAGGATAAGATACAGTTGTGATACATCGAGCAATACAGCACAGCAGATAAGAGCGTCTTTACATTTTCCCCCTTTTGATCTCTGAAAGAGACCATTACGCCTAACTATCCATCCCTGAATAGATGTAGCTCTGCATGTCCTGGAAAAAACCCCTAGGCAGCTGTTCATTTTAAGGAGGAAAGCAGGACATCACCTCACACTTCTGTGACGGTAGTCATTTCTGACCCAGACCCCACCTGTACAGGAAAATAAACTTTCCCTCATCTTTCTTGGTAAACACACATTGTAGCATTTGAGCAAAACAGGCAACTTTAAAGCTGGCAGGAGCAGTAAGCCTCTTCCAGTAGCGGTGCGATGGCCACTAAGGATAGTTTCATGTCTCGTCCCTGGCTGTACATTTGGTAAACA